TGCTCTGGTGTGGTTTACTCTGTCTTTCCTGTCAAATGTCTGTAGTCCTTATCTCTCCTCCTTTTTGTGTTTGCTACTCTTTTTAACACCTCTAATCTTCGGCTCTTATATTACGACTTAATTGTGTTGTAAGTTCCGTAAAAAAGGTTACTAAATTTAAAGGAAAACACCACTGTTTTGTCCACTTCCATGCCAGGTATGAGAACGAACAGGAGTCGTACGAGCACAGCCTGGCATATCACGCGATGGTCACGGTGGACAGGGCGCTCTACGTCATCGGCGGGTACACGACGGTCAAGTACCTCAACTCGGCCAAGAAGTTTGAGCCCTTAAGCAAAACCTGGTCAGAGGTAAATTGAACCCTTTTACCAAAAACCCGATCAGTAGTAAATTGAATCCCTTACCAGAAGCTGGTCAAAGGTAAATTAACCATTCACCCAAAACCTGGTCAGAAATAAGTTGAATCCTTACCAACACTTGGCTAAAGATTAGTTAGATTTCTTATTTACCAAAATTAGTCAAAGATAAATTCGAACCCTCACCAAAACTTTGCCAAAGGTAATTTAGAGTCGTTTACTAAAACTTGATCAGAGCTGAGTCGAACCATTGACCAAAATCTGATCAGAAGTAATTTAAAGCCTTTTTTTCAAATCAAAACTTGGTCAGAGTTTAGTTGAGTCCCTCACCAAAACCTGATCAGAATTATTCATGATGTTCTACAAAGGATAGATTTTGATATCCGGTGTTTCTGCTAGGACACAGAATCCATTTCAGCCTGCGTTGGCTCAGACGGGCAAGATTGAAGCCTGCCTCCTAAACTGAGTCGATTTTTTAATTCTAGAAAAGAAATTGGAGGGGGCAGGGGGCGCACGTAAAACACCTACCTCCATTAGAAAAGAACTATTATAGTAAAGTGTGGGTCGTTGACGGCTGTCCCAGTGTGGTTTGTTCTTTCCTTTTATGTGACATCATTGTGTTGCAAGTGGCTTTATACTCAAACTAAAACTAAACTAGACGAGCAAGGTCGAGGCCCGTCTCCTAAATCATCCAAAGTATGTGACTGTGGATGTAGAAACACCTATCTGCTTACTTTTTTTTTTTTTTTTTTTAATTGCCTCTGTATCGTCAGATCGCACCCATGCACAGCAGTCGTTGCTACGTGTGTGCGGCAGAGCTGGATGGGTACATCTACGCCTGTGGGGGCTTTGATGGCAACACACGTCACAGCTCTGTGGAGAGGTACTGTCCAGACAAGAATCAGTGGCAGATGGTCAGTGATATGTCCAGTGTCCGGAGTGACGCGGGAGCCTGTGGGCTAGATGGTCAGTTGTATGTATGTGTGTGTGTGTGTGTGTGTGTGTGTGTGTGTGTGTGTGTGTGTGTGTGTGTGTGTGTCTGTCTGTGTGTGTGCCTTTGTGTGTGTATGGTCTGCTGGGGTAACAATGGTTGTGAAGCGCATATAGCATGCTGTGGAGTGTATATCATGGGTAAGATTCCAAAAAGTCGTATCTAAAATTTGCTACTTTTCAGAAGACGAAAAAAACTGTTTTATTTCCAAACGGTTAGAGATACCGGTTTCATTTTTTGCATGTGAGCCTCAAAATACAGTCTACGCTCGTACTTCTCATGAGCTTGGGGCTGCCTATGCCACTTTTCCTGTAATGATGAGTTACGATAAACTGCAAATCGAAACTTCAAAGCAAACTGTAGTAACTCAAGTTACGACAGCCAGATGTTGAAGACAAAGTATCGTATCTTGAGTTACGACTTTCTGGATTCCAAATTTCGACAGACAGGGGTATCGCAACTCCAGATACGACAGTTTTATTGCCAAATCTCAGTATATTTCTCTTACTTACAAGCACTTACTACTTTTAGGAATGAAAATAAACACTCCAAAGTTGCAACAGCTTTATTTTAACGCTTTACCAGAGTTGAACTACTAACAAACGAACCTCTTTTTTTTA